GATTGGGGAGCAGGAGCTGTGCAGTGGGGCTCTGCCAAAAGACCCCACAGCCGCTGCTACAGCTGTGAGTGTGGGTCTTTTTTTTAAGTGCCAGGAGACTGGGCCAGTGTGGGGGATGGGGCTGGGCAGGGCAGCCATGGGGACTTCTTCTACAGCTCCCCCCACCTGGGGAAAGGCAGGCACAGCTGGGGAGCCACGAGAGAACCTGCAACCACCTGGCTGTACCTGCCTCTTCCCAGCCAATCCTAATCTCTGAATCAGTGCCAAATCAGCGCTGAATCTCCGATTCTCATTCAGCCAAATTGAACAGGGACAGCGATTCAAATCACCGAATCAAATCGCTGTCCTCCAAATCGGTCAAATCTGAATCGAATACTTCCCTATTTGCACAGGCCTATTGAATAGCTGACTGGTGCACATAGGGATTGAATCAGCTATTGGACAAAAGGGTCAAAAAGCCCTGTTAAAGCACGCAATCTATACAGATGCTGCAGAGATGGGTCAAACTAACATGCTGCCTCTTCTGGTAAAGTGTGTTTTGGTTTTTTCCATGTCTGTCAGTGCCCTATATTAGTACCCTATAACAGTCTTTTGTTTTTTGTTGGATTTTTTTTTTTTTTTTGTTCGTCCTACCTAAAGCTGTTTGAAATATTGATTGATTCCAGGGTCTCAAGTACACAGTATTGAAAGCAGGCCAGCTTGGTGACATACTGATCTTTCTGCTCTCTCAACAATCCTCCATCTATAATGCCCTCCACTGGTTGAACTCTGGGGCAGAATAGCAGTGGAACTGCTGCTTGTCTTACCTGGGGCATGAGCCCCTTCGTTTGGCCTTTTACAAATACCCATGTTTATGCAAATAGGGCCTTTGCAAGTGCAATTTTGGCATACTGCATTTGGCAGCACACTGTCACAGTTACTAAAGAAAGTATTTTCTTATATAAACTTAGTGTATTCTGGTGGGCCACATTTGCTGACTGCTAAGCAGAGACACTGAATATGTTGAAAATCATATTCTCCTTTTGTAACAGACAAATGGTAATGCATATCCTGGATGTACTGTACATATAAGGTATTTCCATCACTTCTTTTAAACACTGAGAGAAAGAATGAGGCAGGAAGTTGCATGACTCCAGCTTTTGCACAGAATCATGTTGGTTATTTTCATGCATGGTTTATATCCCTCTCAGAAGCTTATAGATCCTCCCTCTCCCTTTGTACTCCTTTTGGGGATGAAAAATGCTGCGTAGTCCTGATCGTGGTCCCACTGAAGTGACTGGCAAAACACTCATTGACTTTAGTGAACACAGAAGGATTTGTACTCTATTTATGGTTCCAAACATTTGTTATGAACAGCTCCGTTTTGTTTAATTTAGTCTTTAAATGATTCCTAGTTGTATGGTGTCTCACAGCTCTTATCTTTCCAGAGTTAAAAAGGGGTGTCTCTGAATAAGGATAGAATTTCTGTTTGTGAATAATGAAGGATATTCTCATGAAAGCAAAGAACTAATAGTGGCTTTGGTCCTGATCTTGCAGTCCTTGTTTGGACAATTCTCTTATTGATTTCAGTGGGAATTTTTCCTGAGTGAGATCTGCATGTTTTCACCCGTAACATGGAAAGGGTCTATGCAAATATAAATCTACAGTTCTGCCAATGTGCTTTAGTCTGATCTGTCCTTATCTGCAGTGTTCCTGCTTTAGTCTAATCTGTCCTCTTGTATCTCTAGGCCTCCATTTCACTAGGGTTCAAGCTATTTGTTCAAGTACTTTTGTAATATCTACAAATAGAGCTCAGATTAGCCTGTCCACCAATACAATTTGAGAAAGAAACTGAGTCTCCAGAAGTAAGAAGGCATTGCATTAATCTGTTCAACAAGCCAATCAAGTTCACCCCTGGAGACAAATCCACCTCTAGTGTAACTTCATTCAGCATGATAAATGGAGTCATGCTAAGGCTGAATTGGGCTTTAGCTTCATGTTATGGTGCACATAGGGTATTTTTTCCAAATGAAGTTTGTTTTTGGGTGCATATAGTAAAAAAATCTATACAGAAAGTTTTTTTTTCAAATGATCTAACTTATGTTTAGGTTTAATCCATCTAATAAACGCCCCCCCCCCCCC